TTTAATTATTATTAATTATTATAAAAATTTTTTAAAAAATCTTTACTAGGAAGTAGCTTTGGGCTTGTTATTACATGGTGATATTCTTAGAGAAATGAATTTAAAGCTCCCCTTGACTCTGAAGCTATGAAAACGTAGTGCATCTGGGCAGAGCCTGTATTCACAGCATTTGGGAGACAGAGGCAGGAGAATTACTGTGACATTGAAGCAAGCCTGGGCCACAGATGTATCTGGGGCCAGGGAACATGTATTGAGAAAAAGAACAAAGATGAAAAAGGCTTAGCGTCTGCTAATATGACCATAGACCTTCAGATTCAGATCAGAGAACTGAAGAAAGTCAGACACCGCCTTAAGGCCATTTGTTAGCATTCTTCCCTGCAGAGACCTGGCTTTTGGTCTGTTCTTTTTCCTTGTACGTAAAGTAATGTAAATCAATAGTCATAAAGGAAGTTCCTTTCTTTCCATCTATCTCTACTTCATTCTGTCTTTCCCCTCCTTTCTCTGCTTAGAACCCTTGTATATGGTTGCTGTAGAGGAAGATATTCAGGATGTAGGGATGCTATATGGGCGTACCCTGGCTGCAATCTGGGCACTTTGGGATTGTTGGGTGATGTGTACATGGTTGAACTAGTAATGTGCGCTCTTCTGTCTGTTTTTATGGCATCCGACTTTACATCGCTTTGTCTTCGGTGGCCCCTCCAGTATCCCTGCCAATCTGTTTGCTCTTACGTTTAAGTCGCATTTTCTCTAGGAATTCTGTTTTGACCTTTAGGGTCCTCATTGAAGCGTCTCTCAAACTCTTTAGTGTTTATTCTACTTTAGCAGCAGTGTTATATTCTTTGTTAAAATTTATTTTTAAAACATGTTATTTATGTGTGTGTTTACCTGTGTGAGTTTCTGTGCATCACATGTGTTGCCTGCAGGAGCCTGTGGAGGCCAGAAGATGCCATCAGATCCGCTGGAAGTGGCGTACTAGGCGGTTGTGAGTCACTGTGGATGCTGGACACTAAACCTGGCTCCTCTAAAAGAGCAGCAGGTCTCTTAACCTCTGAACCTTCTCTCCAGCTCTGTTCGTTCTTTTAAAAACAAATAGATGTTTGAGGGTTTTTTTTTTCCTTACATTTTGTTTCCCCACCACTTAACACAGGACTGGGTTGTGGGAACTGAAAGCCACTCAGTGCAAGTGTCCACCCATGGCCTCTGTCTCCCAGTCACCAGAGGACTGAAGACAAAATGCAGACCTTGCCCAGACTGCAGACCAGAGGGTTAAAGTGTGATGGCATTTACATTTGAAATGCTGTCTTACTGATTACCAGTACTGACCACTAATGGCCCCAGTAGAAGGAAAGCTCTACCCAGGCTGTGTTCATTACTTCAATTAGAGATACTCCAAGTGCCTGGCACAGTTCTAAGGATATAGCAAGTGCTCAATAAATATTTCCTGAATGAACTTGGAGAGTTTTTATGTAGGGCCATTCCAACAGCGAATGTGAGAAGGCGCCGTCTGCTCCTTTATGTGCCTCTTCCACTCTGAATCCAGAAAAATGAATTGTGATTATTTTACTGGAAATGGACAGGCACTGCATCTTTATACAAATTCTAGCCACTTCGTTGTTTTCCTTTGGTTGTTGTTGTTGTTTTTCCTTTGAAATATATGTGAGGTGGTATCATGTTACTGCTGAGTCATGTTATTGGTGATAGCCATGTGATATGGTCTTGTCTGGGCATATTGTACTTTCTTCAAGCAGTGGCCTGCTAAAGGACATTGAAGGTATTTCTGGTTTTTCAGCTTTCAAGTTAATACTATAGCAAACAGTACAGGCTACAATGCCTGCTCAGTTGTCACTGTCACTCTGCAAGTAGGGACTATAGTATACATGCCTAACAGTAGAATTCTTACAAGGATCAAAGGCTTCTGCATTCACAACTTTAATGTATGTTGCCAGACTGTCCGCCACAGAGGGTAGGGTTAGCCAGGTTGCCACACTCTAACCAACACTTTTAAGGTGAAGACATGAACAGTATCTTCTGTTTTGATGGGTGGTAAAATAGTTCTTCTAAGTTTAATTTGCATTCTTTTATGTATTAGGTTGAAAATCTTTTCACTGTTGTCTTTCTGAACTTGTGTGTGTGTGTGTGTGTGTGAGACTTTCATCCCCTGGCTCCTTTTTTATGTTCTGCCTCTGTAACATTGCCCATTGTTGATGTGTAAGGGCTGTTGGTTTATTAAGACAAGAATCTCTTGGCTGTCCTTGTTCATTTATACTTTTCTTTATGCAATGATCTCCCTTCATCTGTAATTTGAATTTCTGGAGTTTTGTCTGTCTCTGGTGAGCTATGGTTTGAAACTATTAAATGGAAAGATAGAAATAAACAATTAGTATCTTACTTTGTGTACCTCCTGGGTAGCATAGTGTCCTGCCCTAGATGACTCCCCCGCGTTCCAGCATCTCCAAGCTGTTCAGACTAAGGCCTTAGTCTTTAAGTAACTTGCACTAATCAGATCTGCGGTGGCTATACTGCAGTGCTGTAATGTTTAGCTATACTTTGTTATTCTTCACAGTAGTCCCATATCTAAATCATTTGGTGCTGGTGGCTTGTAGATGCCAAAGAGGAACGATGAAGTGTTTGCATTCAATGAAAAGCTAAAGTCCAGGAAATGTTTTACAATACAGAGAGATAGCCATAGAAACAGAGAATATTTTCAGATACTTCCCCCATCTTTCCAACTGGGTTCTCTGGATAGCCTAGCTATTCTGGAACTTACTCTGTAGACCAGGCTGTCCTCAGACTCACAGAGATCCACCTGCCTCTGCCTCCTGAGTGCTGGGATTAAAGGCATGTGTCACCACCACCCTGCAGCTTTTATTAGCCCATCTTACTGCAATAGCTGTATTTTGTAATTATTATTAATTTCTTATTGTGACCAATTTATAAAATAAACATCATGGGTATGCATATGTGTAAACATACTTTCTAGGCTTCACATTTGCACTGGGATCCTTGAGATGTGTCCCCTATGGAAAAGGAGGGGTGGGGTACTAGTTAACAATGCTGCTCAAATAAAATAATAATTTTTTATCTTCATTTTGATTATTTCATTTTGATTTATAGGTGAATTAAGGGAGAACTGATGTTTTCATTGTGTTTCATTGTATTGTGTGTATGTGAATTGTGTGTGCAAGTGTATATGTGTTTGTGTGTGCACATGTGCTAGGAGGTTGGAGTCTAACCGTGAGGGTTCTCCTTAGGAAGATTGCTCGTCTCCTTTGAGGGAGAGCCTCTCATTGGCCTAGAGCTCACCAGTGAGACTAGACTGGTTAGTCATGGAGCCATAGGGACCATGTGTGCTCACCTCGCCAGTGCTGGGATGACAGGTGTTTACATTAAAGATGTCCACATTGGACATCTGTATGTGAGTTCTGGGGAACTGACCCAGTTCTGTGCTTGTAAAACAGGAGCTTTGTCAGCTCAGCCTACCCTCCAAGCTTAGGGCTGCTCTAATTTGATGCCATGTGTGGGTGGTTCCCACCAGACTAGTGATAGATGTCTGTGTTGCTAAGCTTCTGTATTATTTATTTCTCTATTTCTGCAACGAGGCACCATGACCAAGACCACTTAAAAAAGAAAGCATTTAGTTTGTGGGCTCACAGTTCCAGAAGGTTAGAGACCATTACCATCATGGTTGGGAGAAGGGCAGCAGGTAGGCAGGCATAGCACTGGAGTAGTAACTGAGTGCTTACATCTCCTTCACATGAGGTGGAGGAGGAGGAGGAGGAGAAGGAAGAGCTGGAGGAGGAGGGACAGAGAGAGACCCAGTGATGCTCCTAGGACTAGGAGGTTCCTACTTCCTAGTCCTTCTCCAACAGTTCTACCAACTGAGGATAAGCGGCCACACAGCACCCTTCTCCAGTCCTTAGATCTGGTCACAGTTCGAATGTTGGCTTTGAGGCTGAGGCAGGTCTGTGTTATATAATGTTGACAAAGTAGCTTCTAGTCCCATTATATTTAGGTTCTATGAAAGGATAATGTACTTAATCACTTAGTTTTATGTCACTAGAGCAATATCTCCTCTCCCCCTCTCTTCCTCCCTCCCTCCCTCCCTTCTTCCCTCCCTCCCTCCCTCCCTCCCTCCCTCCCTCCCTCCCTCCA